TTGGCCTTGCTTTTTTTTTTTTTTTTAGCCGATTTGATGTTTGTTTTCTTATGAACTTAAGTTGACTTGCAATTACAGAAAAATATCTAAATCAATGCAAACAATATATTTTAGAATTGATATTACTTGCCATTTCTTGCTAGTAAAGTTTATGTCCTCAATTTAAATTTACATATTGATTTTTTTATTATTTCAATTTTATGATATTGATTTTTTTTAACGTTAAACCTTTAGGGTCTGTTTGGGGGTCGACTCGCGACATGCGTTTAGTGTAAAAACCCAAACGCAGTTTCGTATAAACTAGTCAAACGCGCGAACCAAACGGTACGGCCGCCCACACTTATAAGCTGCCCCAAACGGACCCTTAATTAGAGTCTTTACTGTTTCTTGAATTGCGTGTCATGAATAGAAATAGTGCAGCTTTTATAGTAAAAGAAATGTTTTTTTTTTCAGAAAAACTTCATGCATATATATATATATATATATATGTTGTTAACTTTAATTTTTCCTATATTCTTTGAAGCCTTAAGCCTCACTAGTTTTTTATTATTATTTTTTTCTTAGTCTGAAAGAATGCCAATTTGATCCTAGTTAGATTTTGGCTTGCTTCTTTAGGAACTAAGATGGACTATTTTTTTATATGTGATACAGAGTTGCTAAATATCTAGCTTAACCAGCTTTGATTTCTTTGTTCAACAAGCATAAATACTCTGTTGAATGTAATTACATGATATAAAGCTTTCTTGCAGGTTGAGGTTGGGCAGCAAATAGTGATTCCTGCTTACTCGAATGTTTCCCTTCTTCCACAACCATCCAAGCAGGATAGTGATGAAGAATTGGAATATGCTGATGCTAGCACGGGAATTATCGAAAGCCCATGTAAATTTTCATTCTTTGAAAATTTATACTATTAGTTTTAATTAATCGAGTAAATGATCAAAATGATCTCTAATTTTTTCAGTTGTGCCTATTTTTGTCCTAATGTTTTCGAAGTATTCAATCCCCCAACTCACTAAAATTGAACCAATTTGGTTATACTATTAACTTCTAAAAAAATGGCGAAAGAAAGTTTCTTATGATGGAATTATTTTACTTTTAGGGGCCTATCTTGTTAGTTTGAGGTAGTATAAAGTAGCGAGACTGATTCTAAAAATTTCAGAATGCCTCTAATGGGAAGTTGTCATTAGCTAATTTCTGTCTAAAGAAATGTTAAAGTTGACTCTAGGACCAATTTGATTTAAATTTTGATGAATTGCTGGACTAATATCTTGTATTAAAATTTTTGCTAATATAATGCCTATCCTCCCTAGACTGATTTTTACTCACCTATGCATAACTCCCTTGTGAAGATAGTCTGTGAAACCTCTTTTCGGAGATTATTTAAAAATGATTGAAAAAAGTCTTTTTTTTTTTATTTAGTCGTATGATGAATAAGAATTAATTTCATTTCCAGGGAAATGTTAAAACTTCCACGACAAATAAAGCATTAGTGCTATTGGTAAATTTTTTTATAATTTTTGGGCAGCATGGTAGAAAGTAGAGATTTATCATAAGTAATTACAATATCAAGAAAATGTATTTGCCTGGACTCTTAAAATTTATCATAAGTAATTACAATATCAAGAAAATGTATTTTAAAGATTTATCATAAGTAATTACTCTTAAAATTTTGCCCAAACCAGTAATAATGGTTAAGTAGAATAAAGTTGAAATCTTTGAAATGAAGGCACCTTTTAGTGCAGGGTCAAAATTTTATTAGAAATTTCAAACTTAAGTATGCTTATATAGGAGCACTCCTTAGATGGTTGAACTCCTTGGAGTTACATCTAGAGGACAACACCACGAGGCCACTAGGTTAAAACAAACTTGAGGCTATTACGCTCCATTAGGCTAAAGAGAACATTATTTTGATAGTTAAGAGGTTTGGCTATTACAAATGTGGAGCTTAGTGAAGACCACTAAGACTTAGCTTCTAGTATTGTTGTTGTGCTAGATCAACATTTCAGTATAACTACCTTGTATTTATGTGTAGGGATGTCAATATTTTGATCTTGCATATTTGTCTTACTCAAAGAGGACAGAAAAACTCAGGTTTGGGCAAAACTGACGTAAGATTTGAGTTGGGTTCGAGTCTTCTTAAGTGACTCAAAACAAAAGGTTGAGTTTGGGTCAATCTCAAAATAATTACTTAAATATATAATTTTAAGTCTGGTAATTATGCAAATTTTGAGTCAGGTTGATCCTAACTCATCACAAACTAAGTATTTTTCATGCCTTGTTGGTTCGTATTTGACTTTGGTTGGGTAGGATTCAAGTGGAGGTTTTCGACCCATTCAATGAACTAGCTAGGCTTGCGCTGACTATATTCTAATTGGTTCATTTTAAGGTCATTATTGGAATCTGACTTCTTATTTTGAATTGATGTCCTTGTTGAATGATTAAATGTTTGGATAATGTCATACAATTTGAGTGGATACGTGCATGATGTGTTCAAGAATTCAAATTTGTGACTTAGATGGCGAAACTCTTATGTTATCCATGCTCTATGGGCTTTAAAAATTCATATTTTGATCTCTTGTGAGTGTGTTTCATGCATCTCGATACTTGCGTTGTTGGCCTCGCGTGCAGGAAAATTTTTCATTTTGCTTTTGTTTGGGAAATCAGTCATTATGGCTCTTCATATCAAGTATTTATGATGTTCTAGCTGTTGTAATGTCGATCAAACAATGTTTGATCAATTTTGATGGTGGTCGAGGTAATTCTGATCCAATTCATAGGACATCACATTTATACTATGCTGTTTTCATCATATTTGATCGAATTGGTCACAAAATGCTCTTTTTAGATGATTTCAATGTTCCAGATATGCTGACATAGTCTGTTTTGTGAGTGGAAGACATTTGTGTACTTTTTGGTAACTTTTTTGTCTTCTTTATTTGCAATGTGTCCATTAATGCCAATATCCTTAGCTGGTTGCAATGATTCAGATTCATTAGTGAAGTTTGTTTTGCTGAATGAGCAATAGTTTGTTGGTTTTGGTTAGCGCGATGCATCTTGATTTTGATTTGTGCCATACAATGACTATTATTCAGCATTCTATGTCATCATTGACACATTTGTCCCTATTATAATGTGGAGAAGGTGTGGTGGTTAACATACTAGAGAGTTCTCTTGGGATGGGCTAAAACTTTGCAATACCAAGGGGACAAGACTTTGAGGCTGTTAAACTGAATTGAATAATATCTTGATGGTTGAGCGTTCGGGCTATTACGAAATGATAATGATTATGATGCCCCTGAAGTAGTATAAAGCTAAGCCATGAAAATATTTTGGCACTTTTTGGTACAGTGATAGGAAATTTATCAGAAACTTCTAAGTTGTGTGGTCATATAGGAACTCTCCTGCGATGGGCGAATCCCTGAAAAGTTGCTCCAAGGTGAGAAAACTCTAGACTATTAGGCTAAATCAGACAATATCTTGATGGTCAAGAATTAAAACATTTTTCAGAATTTCACTGCTGTCAAAACAATTTTTCCGTTATTTCACACATTGTTAGCCTACTATTATTCTGTGTTGTGCTGGAATAGCAGGTGGAATTTTCCTTCATTTGTTTATGCTTTCAAGCTTCCTTTAAACTGGGATATTCTGTTGCTTTCTAACCACCGCAGAATGATGGTTGCAGTATGCATATCATCTTTATCTTATTGGTACTGTATTTCACTTTTTCAATAACTTGCGTCTTTAAGTTTGTTATTTATTTTTGGTGGATTAACATGCAATCACTCATGTCACAGCAATTGCTACTATGATGAATACTCAGAAAGTGGATATTGGTTTTGGTACCTCAGATATGAATAGGTTGGGGACATCTGAGGTACGGTTCTTGTTCTTTGAGGTTTCTCTTGGGTTTTCATTTGTTGATTTAAATGTGGGAGAAATATATTATTCAAAAGGTGTTAGATTTATCAGGTATTGCTATTTTGATGGATAAAATTATACATAGGAAGTTTTGGATTTTAGATTTACAAATGATTTTGATGACCAAAAGTCCTCCGATGCATGCATATATATCTGTGATAGTGTCACCGAGTCCTCAAATTATTTATAAGTTCTAACGGAGCTTGACATGCCAATAATAAATAATAATAATGTAATAAAGTAAAATATCTCGTTTTGGGGAAACCAAAAAAAAGTATAATGTTTTTGTAACGTCAATCAATCTAAAGTATATAAGCCGCTTTTATGCACGTATTAACTTGCATCCTGGCCAAGTATTGAATTCCTTGATGTAAAGATTACAAACTAGTAAATAATGCAAAAAGAGATTTAGGTTAATGCCATATGGATTAAAATGTTTGGTAAATTTAAATGCAAATAGATTTATTAAGCTTAAATTTATAAAATGACAAAGATAACATTTTTTCTTCAAATTACACTTTAAATCCTTATAACAATGAGTGTGTTTTGTCCAGTTTTAAATCAAGACATTCAATTCCATTTATGTGAAGGTAGGCTAATTTTCAAGGCCCCGGCTAGAGGGCTTTGAATTTTTAAGGCAAGCGGACGACTAGGCAGTAAAATTCAAATTTTCTATTTCATTCTAAATCTAGAATAAGGAAAGATCTACTAATACTTAATTTAAATAAATAATAAAATTATCTTTTCATTTGCTGACCTGTCCTTCTATAAACATTTCATCCTTTGCTATTTACTTTAAACAAAAGCTTGAATCTGAAAAAGTTAAAAAATAACAATAAACTATTGTCACAACCTAACCTGGGAACTTGGATTCCCAAAACGGGAATATACGATCAGACAAAATAAAATTATCTAACAATTTTATTTCATAATTATACAACAACAAGCCTTTATCCCCCTAAGTGGGGTCAGCTACATGATTTTTTTTTTCCCATTGTGTCCTGTTGAGTGTCATAATTTCATTTAATTTAATAGATTAAAATTATTTTTTATACAAAATGCCCATGTCTTTTTAGGTATACCTTCGCTTTTCTTAACATAAGTTAAATTTGAAACTTCTACTCTCCTAATCGGATCATCAGATGGTCGACATTTAATGTGACCAAACCATCTAAGGCGACTCTCTAATCTTGTCCGCCACTGGAGCTATACCCTTTCACGGATTTATTCATTTCACATTTTGTCTCTAAGTGTCAAGCCACTCATCCACAACATTCTCATCTCAACAACACTTTACTTTATTTTGTGTCTCTCTTTTAAAGACCAACATTCAGTGTCATAAATCATTACAGGTCTCACCACCATCTTATAAAAGTTTCCTTTCAGTCTAAGAGGTACTTTCTATGATACTATAGACCCTATGCATTTCTCCACTTCAACCATCTAGCTTGAATTCTACTGATAAAATCCTCATCTATATAACTATCACTTTGAACAATAAACCGAGATATCTAAAATGTTCACACTTTTTAATGATTTGATCACCTATATTTACAACTCTACCACTAGAGTTACTACTACTAAAATTGCATTCCATGTCTTTAATTTTAGATCTACTCAAACGAAGGATTTTAGACTTCGATATAAACCTCCATAAATTAATTTTTTTCCTGAATTCTTTCTAGTTTTATCCACAAGAAGGATATCATCAGCGAAAAACATACGCAAAGGTACATCCTCCTATAAATGTCCAGTAAGAGCATCCATAGGGCTTAAAGTCGATTCCTGTTGTAATCCAACTAAAATAGGGAAATACTTGATCAATCCCTCTTCTGTTCGAGCACAAGTAACAGCTCCAGTATACATATCTTTGATGACTTGAATTCAAGTGATATCAGCATCTTTCTTCTTTAAAATTATCCAACATACTCTTGGAATTTTATCGCAAGATTTTTCTAAATCAGCAAAAATCAATGTTGATCTTATTCTTTTGTACTTTTCCATCAAACCTCTCAATAAATGTTTAACTTATGTAGTAGACTTGCCTGACACAAATCCAAACTAATTATGAGAAATCTTTGTATGTTACATATGTTATATATTTCACATAAAATTTCTTTCTTTATATTTTCCAATTGAAATCATACGTTACATGTTTATAGACACTCATCTCTCTAGAGATTAGGAACATATTTGATTTAGAAAAGATCTAAAATCAAATCTACTCAAATTAGGTTACCCAGTATACAAGCTTCTAAATAAACAAACTACCTAATATTTAGTATTTTCCATAACACTCCCCCTAAAGCTGGAGCATAGATTTTTATCATGCTTCATTAAGTGTCTTTGTGAAGATGTCCCCTGACTGTTCCCCAATATTTATTTAGGCTGTAGAAATCAAATTCTGCTGAATATTTTCACGAACAAAATGACAATTTATCTCTATGTTCTTTGTTAGTTGATGGAAGACAGAGTTTGAAGCAATATGAATTGCAGCTTGGTTATCAACCACAATTTTGTTGGAGTGATCATCATAAATCCCATTTCAGTAAGGAATTGGAAGACACGTCGATTTAGTCGAAGCTTGTGTCATTGCTTGTTATTCAGATTGTTCACTGGATTGTGAAACTTCATTTTATTTCTTATTCTTCCATTAGACCAAGTTACCACCCATAGAAACACAATATCCAGTAATGGATCTTCAATTAATCTTGAAATTTGCCCAATCTGCATCAAAAAAACATTTATATAAATGCACATGATCTTAATATAGAATCCTTTTTGTAGGAGTTCCTTTTAGGTAACACAATAACTGTTCTAGAACCGAGCAATGATGTCTTAAGTCATTCACCTGCAATTAAGTTCACACTTCTTCTATCTTCTTCTTCTTCCTTTTCCTCTCTCGCTCTCACTTCCACTATCTCACTCTCTCACATTCCTTTAGTTCGAATGATAAAGTCCGAGAGATTAAGCCCTCAATTAACGCTTTCAAGGGCGGTGAGGGTGCTAATCGAATGACTTGACAGGTGTCGTAATAGGTAAATTTATTTATTTTATAATTAAATTATTATAAATAACAGTTGATTATTATAACTAAAAATGTCAGTGAATACTCTTAATTCTAAATTATTGTAATAGAAATGAAAGAGAGACAAAATGCAGGCTAGTTAAGTATATATCTAATTAATGTAAAGGAAATATTAACACTTAATGTTCATTTATGACTATTTCATAATATTTAGAACATTCAGTAGCACAATGCCATAACTTATCTATATCTATAACGTATCATTTACAATCGTCGTAAGAGCATTGTCTAAATATAACCTAGTACCCTCCAACTGATACATACTTCGTCGGTAGAGCGGGGCACAAAACAATTTAATTATTGTATGAGGTGGAAAGGTACCTACTCAACCCTGATCGATATCTTTTGTCGGCGCAATTTGCTCTATTCATGATTGTCTCAGATGATAGAAAAATTTCTATGGGTGCGAGTAGGTTCACATTCCTTGTTTGTATCGTATTCATCTTGATATACATTCACTCTATGTAGTCCATATATTTCCTATTTTCATATCATTAATCATATAATATTTTATAAATGATGCATAAAAATGTTCATATTAAAAGACTTACATATTTTTGTCTTTATTACTAATAAGATTGAATGGCAAATGAATCAAATGAAGTCCTGAAAATGCATAATCAAGTATCAATAACTATTCATGATGTAGGTTTAGAAGCCAAACATGTTACTGTAACTTAGAAGTAAGGGTACTCACCTTCATCATAGATGATTTGTTTCTTAATTTCGATGCTTTAGACCCCAATTTATCTAATTTGAAGCCTATAATAAACACACACACACACACACACACACACACAAATTATGTAATTGAATAATGATAAAATAAAATCTTTATTTATTACATATATTTTATTTAATTATTTAACATACATGATTTAAGCATTAAATTTTCTGCACTTTACTTCATTATATAAATCTTGATTAATTTTATTTTGCTATTCCTTTCATGTTAAAATTATAACTATTTTAGTTCGTTTAGTCTATTCAATATTTCCCCTTAATTATTTAATAATGTTTTTATTTTAGTTGTTTTCTATGATTACATAAAATTGTTAAATACTTAGCTTCATTTCTATAGATAGCATGATGTATCATAATGTCCTAGTTATTATTATTATTTCATAAATGTTATAATATTAATTATTTGGCGCTAATTTAAATTTATGTTTATTTCTACTTAATAATTCAAAGTTAAAATGAATTAAATAATCTTTTTTGACCCAACTATTGATTTATTATTAATATTTTAAAGCCAAACACTTCATGAATTGGAATTCAGGATGATCTTACTTCACATTTTTTTTTATATATTAGTCACATCAACACGAGCATGACTCAAGTGTTCTCTGGCTCCAAATTGAATAGTGCACATAAGCTCACAATTTCACCTCCTCTTCTTCCTTACACGATTGAACCACATTCATCCTCTCTCTTGTTCGTTACCCCCATAACTCAAGTCATTGCCCTAGATCGTGAGATGCTCGCCCTAGAGAATCTTCTCTTCCCCTTCTGTTTTGCCATTTCACTCGGGAATGGTTAACATGGCTCAATCAGGTTTGAAATCAACTTAACTATGACACACTTAACTTGTGTCGCTCAACTTTGACGCTTTATTATTGGTGCTCCCCCATCAAAAAGTGCCTCGGCGTAACATGCTCAATTGCTCACATTCTAATATGCTTCTTCCTCTAGTGTACCTTTCTCGACACTCTAAATGTACGCACGAGCTCCTCATCATCTTAGATATTCGTACTAAAGTTGAAGTCACCCTCGCCTGCTCGATGATGTCTCCTCATGTATTTCTTATCTCTAACGCACACTTCTCTACGTTGCTTTTTGGGAAGCTAAAGTGTTTCAACTACAGAAAGGGTTTGAGAGCAATCATTGTCGTTTGTCGTGGAGCCTCTCAAGATCACTCGTAAAGGTGCGCTTTGATTTCCTTTTTTTTGTCACTTGATTTCTACTCCTTCAACTTACTTCTCCAAACTCCGTTCGTCTTTTTTTAAACGACCAAAAATTGTAACACGTGTGTTACATGAAAAACAAGGGGCGCTAAAATCTTCCCTATGTACAAAAGTTCATCTTACTTATTAATTATAATTTTGATTATAGAATCAAATCCAAAACTTCTTGATGTTTCTCAATATTTATCCTAACGACTTTTTTAGTAAGATTCATTTCACTTAATTTACATGATTTTGTCTGATGCTATTTTTGTCATGACTCATCCCAGAGACTTGGAATCTCTAATGCAATAACTAACGGTCGGATAGTGAATTATAAATTTTCTATTTCGAAATCTCAAATAAGGAAAAGGCCACTAATGCGTAATTTAAATAAATAATAAAATTATATTTTTATTTGTTGGCCTCACCTCTTATAAACATTTTTTCCCTTACTATTCATTTTTAAACAAAAGCTTAAACCTTAAAAAAATAATTAAAAATAACAACCACCTATAAAAATCAGTGAAAACTCATGCTTCTACACTACAATAGCAGAAACAAAAGAAAGACATAATGCATGCTAGTTAAATGTCTAATAAATATCAAAGAAACAATTAAAATCTTAGTGACCAGTCGATGATGTTTAGAGCGTTTAGTAGTACAATACCATGGCTTATATATACCTATAACTCATCATTTACAAATATCATAGGAGCATGGTCTAAGGGTAGCCTAACACACCCATGGCTGATACATATCTTATCTGTAAAATAAGGCACGGGCACATTGTGCTCTATTCACAGCCGTCTAAAGTGATAGGAAAAAATTAATACTTGCGGGTACATTGAAATCCTCAGCTTGTACCACAAGGGGGTGATCATAATCATGTAACATGCACATAAAATTACTCTTTATAGTTCGTATCTCTTACATTTTTATATCTTTCGTTATATAATATTTTATAAATGCTGCATAAAATTTTTTGTATTAAAAAATTTGAAACATTCATATCTATATGACCGATAAGATTGAAAAACAGATGAATCAAAATAAAGTTCTACAAATGCATTAATTGAGTAACAATAACTATTCATGTAGTAGGGTTAGAAGGAGCAAAAAATTGTTAGTATAACTTAATTAGAAAAGTACTCATCTCGATCACAAATAATTTTCTTTTTTATTTTGCGCTTTAGACCTCAATTCTTCTAATTTGAAGCTTACATCTTCTTCCGTTATGTGATCGAACATGTATTCATTCTCTCTCTCTATTGCTACATCCAAAATTCAAATATTTGCCCAATTGCAAGATGCTTACTCATGAGTGCCTTCGTTTTGCTCGCTTCATTGTTTCACTCGGGAATATCGAACACTGCTCAATTAGGCTCGAAATCAGAACCACCATATATGCCCAACTTGCGTCACTCAATCTTAACACTCTAGAGTTGCTACTTCTGCATCAAAGGTGCCTCAACGTCACATGCTCGACCTCTCACTTCATGCTCTGCTTCTTCCTCTGGCGAAGCTTCCTCGACACTCAAAATGAATGTACAAGCTCCTCATCATCTCAGGTATTAGAATCGAAGTCGAATTTTCCCTTGAATGCTAGAAAACGTCTCCTCTTATATTGATCATCTCCATCACACACTTCTCTGCTTTGCTTTTTGGGAAGTTGAAGCAATTCACCCACGGAAATGGTTCACGGTTAGTCGTCATTGCCTACCATGGAGCCTTCTTGAGGCTGGAGTTAACCAACAACAATGGGAAAATCAAATATTATTACTGAAATAAAATAGGAAATTACAACTAACCAAATCATAAATATGAAATTACAACAATTGACAAAACAAACTCCAACTATGGTTGTTTCAAATAATGGTGGTGGTGGCTAGTGAGGGTTTGGAAGGTGGTTGTGTGGTTAAGGGAGATTGACAAGCAGAAACAACAAGGAGGTTATTTCGTTGGTTCCTAGATAGAAAGCAAGCAGCGTAGATCGCGTGGAAGGGCTGCTCTGGGTGGTGGCAAAATGGAGGGAGAGGGAGGAGCTTGGTTCCTGGAAGGCGATAACAAGTTGGAAGAGGCGGAACACTAATTCTGGAGGGAGACAACATGTTGGAGGGGAGGAGTGTTGGTTCTGGCAGGCGGTTTGCTGTTTTGGGCTGCTGCAGCAAGGACATGCGATGGGGAGCAATGTGGGATGGATGTGGAGTGGTAAAGAAAGGATAATCACCACCTTGGAAGTAAGATACAACCGGTGTACTGCCCTAGATGGGAATAGAGAGACGCCGACGACTGTTCAGAACAAACTCAAGATAAGAACTAATCTAAAACACGATAAAATAATATAAATAGTTCTAGTGTAAGTAGGAGTGGCCCCCTACTTCCAATAGGAGGGAATTCCCTGCTTGGGAGGACCTGCTATACCTGCGTCAAACCGGTCCAAACTCAGCAGTTGCCGCTCAGCTGGATGTTCCGTGTCACTCTTGAGATCACGCATGAAGGTGCCCTTTGATTTCCTTTCTTCCTCTCACTCGATTTTTATTTTCTGTTTCATTCCTTCAATTTGCCCTTTCATCTTTTCTTAAAAGCCTGAAAATGTAAAGCAAGCATTGCACGGAAATTTTTACGAAAAAACAAAGGGCGTTACACTAATAGATTAGCTTGGGAATATAAAATAATCACAATAGATGATGTCAATTATGTTTATGGCCAAAATATATAACAGTTAAATAATTCTGTTTTATTTTTGAAAATGTTAAGAAGGAAGAAATTATTCAAGTGCTAATGTATTTGTGCCTCATGACTTCAAGTTAAAAATAATATATATATATATATATATATATATATATA